AAACGCACTAAAGCCTCTTTAGACAAAGCACTCCCTGTGTTTATGAAGCAGACTTTTTCCAGAGCCAAGTAAGTAACAGGTTTGATATTATTTCTTCAAAATACTAGCAGCAATTGAATTGTTTCATAGGCTTATATTACCTGCCAATTTTCCTTTGTTTGAACTAAGGTTGTTTTATAATTATTTCAAGGGGATAAAAATTGTTCCCAGGTTGAAAGTCAGTATGCCAAGTTACAGCCCAGAGCAGGCTTTTATCAATAAATTTTATGCAAACCTGAAAAAACAAGTTTACAATGGAAACATTGACAGAATTTGAGCTATACCAGAACCAGTAAGTTACTGTTTTAAATGAGTTGGAATGATGAGGTTGTTAAACTGGAACACCTTTATGAATGCGACACATTGATGACAGTTGCTGGAAGATTTGGCAGCAAGAACTGGGCCTAGCTTAAGAAAATTATTGCTGGAGTGTGGGGGAGAGCCCCATGGGCAGAGAGATCTCTTTGGAGGGCCTCCACGGCTGCTTGGCACACCAGCGTTGGTCAGCTCGAATGGACCCGGGGCTTTGGTGACAGGCAGGCAGTACGGCAGGCAGAGTCGCTGTGAAGAGCCTCTTCCATTAAATAGTGGCTTCAGATGCCAGAATTGCATCTCCCTGCACTTAGAGCTGTTGTTTGTGCAGGGTTCGGGGTGTCCTTGCACTCTTCCAGTTACAGATCAAAATCCGTATACTTGCTCAAGTTGGGCTTTTTGAACAGATTTGTAGTTGCCAGTGCTGCTCTCTTACCCAGAGAACAGATTAGAAATGCCACAGATACACATTTTAAATGAAAAGCTGCAGCGATTGCTGTGTCAGTCATAGGGTTTTTCCTTGTTGCTTTTTTCCTCTCAGGAGAAGTTGCTGAATTTCCTGAAGTTGCTGAATTTCCTAAAGTTGCTTTGTTCTGAATAATAATTCTGGGTGTGATACTGAGGAACCTGAAAGATGTAATAGCAAAAACACACACACTTTTATTTGTATACAGTTCCGGAAGTGTGACATTTTGTTTTCACAGACTAGCGTCTGTTGATATAAAAGTTTTATACCTTCTGATTTCTATTTTTTTTAATGTTTTTGTCAAAGCAATCTAGATACCCTTCAAGGAAATTTTTTATGTCCAGAAGGCACTCAAAGATGAGTAACAGTTACTGTTCTCAAAAACACTGTGTGTGTATGCACCCCAGCAAGAATCACATCCCCATACCTGATTAACGTAAACCTGATAGGGTACCTCATAGGGTACTCATAGAGTAGCGAAGGAACAAGGATAAAAGTAATTCTGCAAAATGTGTGATGTCTCTTGCAGCGTTTTTTCAATCTGAGTTGGTAAATAATTATGACCAATAGCACCTGAACAACTTCCTTACATCAGTGGGCCAGAGATCTGTTCAATTACAAAACTTCTGGCTTAAAACTGGTCAACTGAATCACAAGAAGTCTGTGAACTGTTAAGCAAAAGCCAACCAATTAACACTGTTAACTGTTTTCAGTGTGCACACAGTCATCTGAAATGAGATTCTCCAGTGTTCAGCTTTGTCTGAACAGCGAAGAACTGGAGTGTGTGCCTCAACCTTCTGACACCATTTCCAATCTCTTTGTGTCTTCATTCAGCAGCACTCCTCCCTGCTGTGACTAGTAGACGTGAGGGCATTTCTGTCTTGTATTGCCTTTGTGTGCTTATTAAAAAAGAATCAGCAAATCTGTTGAGTGCATGTTTAATGTAACACAGATGTGGGCACACCACCGTTCATTCTGCTTTACAAATCTTCAGCTTTTTGTATTTCATCAGCGTTGCTTATTATTTACAGAATGTAACTTGAGACAGTAGAACAAACTTTTAGATTAAAAAAATGAAGCCGTGTGGAATGTTTTTAGCTGTCCAGACCAAACAGACCAGTTTGCCAAGGGGCTGGTGGACTAAATCACTGCAATTTATGCTAGCTGTAGTGGCACTTGGTTGAAAAGCAACTGACCTTCTTAACACCAAGATGAGAATTCTCTTTTATCACCAGGATGAACGTTTTGGCATGGAGGAGCAGTGGGGACAGTAAGCACTGTACTCTTTAAGTACTTCTTCCATTTAAAAGCAAAACCAAAACCTAAAAACAACCCGCAACCAAACCCACAACTTGGAAATTGCCAAGCCTACTAGGAATTCATTGTGGCGCCTAGTACTTTCTCTCTGACCTGCTTCGAAGCCAGACATTAGAAACCAGTGTTCGCTGATGTTCCAGTTTCTATGGAATAGGTCGGATTAAAAGGCCCTATTCTTTCCTCAGTTTTACAGTAGTCTTGCTTGCAATGCTTCCGATACCTGTCCTCACAGTAGTACAGAGTATTAGAGAAAACGGCACAGTCGAATGTTTACCTGAAAGATGGTTAATGTAAAAACCATTATGCAGTGGTATTGCTCACCCCCATATGGATGGTTATCTAACTTTCCTGAATGTGTAACAGGAAGGTGTCTAAGTTATTGATTAGGCAATAGTTAATTAAAAACTGTACATTACGCTTCAGACATTCAGTCTTTAAACTTGTCAGTAGAAGCTACAGGTGCTGTAGAGAGGTTTAACAGCCAATGGGGGCTGCTTCGATAAGTGAAATTTTGTCATTTTACTGCTTTTGGAAGCTAGGAAGTAGGACAAACAGCAAGACGTGAATTACACTGGTTGGCACCCTTTAATTTCTTTGGAAGTTTGCCTCAACATTCTGCATTTCATGGAGGCAAACGCATACTTTTTGTTTACTACTTTGTAAGAATCTAATAGGTAAAAACAGGCACTTATTTCTTCACCTTTGGTGTAGGCTCAGAAAGATAACAATCCTGTCACGTAACTGTACCTGGTACAGATGAATCCTGTTTATATCTAAAAAATTGAAGGGGCAGGAGAGGTGACTTGCTCCAGAGTTGTAGTATTTAATAGTGAAGTTCTAACCACTGCATACAGGTGTTACTCAATGGAATAATTTTAAGTGGTACATAGCTTGTGGAAGTCATCTGTTTACCTAGTGCTTAGGTTATTCTGATTCAGAGAAATGCCACTAATGGAAGGATACAGTATAAGGCATTGCACTTTTTGCAGATGAGGAAAACTGAGTACCTCTTTGTGCCAAATGGCAATCTTCATACTGGCATTTTTAGCTTGGATGCGTAACACTGTAATTAACTAATGAACATCTAACCAAAACTGAAAGCTGTGCAGTGGGACACGTAAAGCAGTGAGAACATGTGTCAGCAGAGGTAAAACTGAAAATTTGACTGGTAACATTTTACTGGCACTATTAATGACAACATTTGTTACGGTTTCTTAAGCCCCTGCTCTGTTTTGCATTCTTTAGTTGGAGAATTTCCACTCTTCATTTCATCCTCCCTGCTGACAAACTGACTTTCCATCTTGGCGTAACCATAGTTCAGCTGAAGTGAAGTCAAGAGCTTTTTGTCTTTCCTGAAGTTTCTCTCAAAGAGGATCAGTGATAAGCACTACTTCTGAGCCACTGTAATTTATTACGCAGGTCAGGGATGTAATAATCTCATTAACAAAACCAGAACTTACCAGATAGTCATAATGTATTACGAATAGAAATTGGCTGATGTTTTTCTCTGCTGTGCTGGAAAGCCAGTATCTTTGGCTTCTATACCTTGTTTGCAAAATACATTGTTGATACCAGGCAGAGCAAGGGTAGCCAAAACACGCTGAGAGGCCAGTCACCCACCAGGAGAGCAGCAAAGACGATACAGAGTCGTGAATGACACGGAAGAGATTCTGTTCCCATAACACTTACTGCCGCCAAGAAGGGAAGGGGCAAAAAACCATGCCTGTCACCATTAAAAGGCAAGGGTGTCAAAGACTCTAAGGAAAACAGATTTTAAAAGGGCGCATGGGTTTCAAGCCTGGGACAGAACTGCTGAAAGGGAAAGGTAACAAAGAAACAAGGCTCCAGAGAAAACATCTGCAGAAAGCAAAGCTTAGAAGGCAAGTACTCTTGTGTGCTATTGCCAAGCAGCTTAAAAAGAAAACACGTGGTTACATGGGATATTTTTCCTGTCTTTTGATCAAAAAGGATAGAAGCAGTTCATTGTACAGGATCTTTACAAAGCATCAAGATGGGAAGTAGAGAGCACTAATCAAAAATGGTGCATTTGGCTTGGAAAATTACTAACAGGAGTAGCCTGAGATATGAAAAAGCGTGCAGCAGACCCAGAGTGATGCTGTGGAAAGGACAGAGAATAAAGCAGGGCTAGGCAGCCTGTAACACAATTCTTCAGGGGCAGGGCGTTCCAAAAGCTTAAAGGAATTCAGAATATTATTTTTTAACAAAATACTGCTAAGGGAGGAACCTAGCCTGCAGTTCTTTAGCACTGTAGCCAGTATCAACCTCTGTTATCTGTTAGGCCACGCATGTCTGTCTTTTATTGTAATTTTTTAACAGACGATCAAGAAAGGTAAAGTCTGCTAAACCCTTCTACGGAAACTCTAATTAACCATGGATTTTTCTTTTGTCTTAACTGCATGTTCCTATTTCCTTAACCCTTCAAACTACTGACACTGTCCATCACGGTGAGCTCTGTCTAGGTTGATGCACTCTGATTTTCTGTAGAGAAGTGAGAAGAAACAGTCAAATCGGTACAACTCTGCTGATAGACAGATCCCAAAATCTGCAAGCAGTATACTCAGTTTAGGTTGCTTCTTCCTATTAATTTAGCACACTGCCCCTTAATTGTAGAGGAGAACTGGGAGACGTTTGTTTGAAATGTAGAACTGTAGGAACAGACACCATGTCTTCCAGATCAAGTATTACAGAATCTATATGCCATATTTGTGAAGACCTTGTATTTTTAAAGGCTTTGTCACACCTCATATTTCAAAATAAATCAAACTTTGTGCGTTGACAGGTTTAAGTGGAAGGAAGAGCGCTGCTGTTGCACTAAATCGTTTTTCTGCATCTATTTCGCATGTAGGACACAAGCGGAGAGAGTGAGAAAGCCACGCTGCTGTAGAGGGCCTCAAGGGCTCTTGCCCCGCTATTTAGAAAGTCAAGCAGAAGGACAAGAACAGCTGTTCAAACTGACCGACAACATCCAAGATGAGTTGTAAGTACTGACACTTTAAGTAGTTCTGTTTGCTGCCATTGTATCTTCACGTCTTTGGGGAAGAGGGACTAAAACCGCTTTACACGCGCACGCCCGTTTCGTTTGTTTTCTCTCGGTGCCCCTTAGCAGCCCAGCGTGAGCACCTGATGACTCCCACAGCGGCCTGCCCGCTGCCTGTACACAAACATCACTGCGGGTGCCACAGGCTCCTTCGGTGCGCTTGTGGCTAACTGCCATCGATGGCACGTCACATACAGGCTGTGGAAGAATCGGAGCCTTGGTTTGTTGACTCCTGCTCCTATTAAGGTCCCTGGGCTCCTTCTATCATTACAAAAGATGAAATCTCAGGAAGTTTCTAAGTAATCGCTGGTCCCTTAAACACACGTAAGGCATGTCCAACCCTCCCCCCTCTGTGTACGGGCAGAACTAGTCTCTCTGCCCTTATCTGTCCCTTCTTGTCTGGTTCCCGCAGCCCAAAGCCCAGGAGAGTGGCCAGTGATTCTGTGACAGCCGGACATGAACCACCGCTGACCTGCATGGAGCGCAGGTGGCTCTGGTTTACATGTGAGAAGCGAACCGGGATGCCTGTGGTACATGTTATTCCTAAGCTACGGCTGTTAACAGCTAATGATCAGAATAACCTGCAATTTTTTTTTTTCCCCCTAGAAAAGTCAATACTGAGTATTTTGCATGGGTAACACGCTACAGGCGCATCTACATTTGAATGCCCTGGATGGGGGTTCATGAAAGCAAGTGGAAAGATTGTACGAATGTTCTTAGTGGTCAGGTTTGAGAGTATGAAAAAAAGGGCACAGGGCACACAGAGTGAACGCATGGAAAGATACCTGTGCATTTGTTTCTACAGATGTCAGTTTGTTGGGGTCTTCAGGCGCAATTCATTACTGAACCCGATCTCTGCCACAGTTACCTGAACAGCTGTTTTCAGTGGCGAGTGTGAGATACTGTGTTTTGCATCTATTCTCCACAGAGTATCTGCCAAGGCAAAGTAGTGACAACTGTTGATGGTGAAGCTCGTAGAGGGAGGTACCAATTCAGCATGATCTCTTAATTTCACCAGTGCCAGCAGTCAGGCTCTGAAAGCCATGTGCCACTCTAGATTCGACCTTCACCTGCCTGTGAGGAAGAGTTTGTACTCTGCCACTTGCTTGCGGCCCTGGGATCTTACACTCTTGTTACCCTGTTTTCATCTCATTTGAGGGTCTTTACGCATATACAGTCTGGCTCTTAGCTAGGGAGAATTGAAAGAGCAATCTGTGACCAAAAAAAAATTGTCAACTCTTTGCAAGTGTACCCCTAAGCACATCAGTGGGCTTTTGTCATTGAGTCACACTGTTCATTCACTGTGACTTTCACCATTAGGAGCATCATTCAACAAGAAAACAGTGTTTCTTGTCATGGAAAATAAGTACAAAATTATGCCTCTGACTTTTATCCCAGTATCATAATCAGAAACACATTTAAAGACCTGATTATTTGCATATTTTCCTTCAGAGTTAAATCCATAAAAGGGGGTTTAATACCTTGCTCTACTGTTCTAACTAAATGTTTCCACATTTTTTCCAGTTAGGCTCACTGTTGCACTTCTGGAAAATATTGTGTAATTACTTCCTGATGTTGTTAAAAAAACCACAAATTCTCCAGAGATCTGGTTGCTTCTACTTTGTTCTACTGGATCATGTTTCATTTAATTTTTCGTTTTATTAATTTGAGATCTTTTTACTAGTGTAGAAGTATGGGGTTAAAAAAAAAATAGTAGTATCTTGAAGCAGTACCTTAAAAGGTTAAATACCGTTTTTGAGTACTAGACACAAAGAAGAAAGTAACAGTTGGCAAGAGAAAATGGGTAATGATGCATGACTCAAACTTAGAACAAAATGTAGAGCTTGAACTACAAATTAGCTAATGTTTCTGTGCTTCACCATTAAATCACTGACCTCTGTTTCCATTCCTCAAAATATATACATGACACCAGTAAAAATCTTGTATGGAAAATTAAGGTACATAATCTGTTGTTCTTATGGAGAAAATACAACCCCATAGTCTGAGTACCCAGTTGCTTCCACTGAACTTTATAGTAGCTTTTAGTGCTTCAGTTCTCTCCATGGATGTCCCCCATATAGCAAGCTGTAATACCATACATCAGGAAAACAGCTGTTCCTCTTTTGTGGGGATACAAAACCTTCTCAAGTTTCTCAGCTTTGCTGTGACGATTGCTGAGGACAGTGATACAGTATTCGGGGTTTCTGATAATCGCCTTTTAATCTTCCTTCCCTGCTGGAAAAGCAGCAAAGAAAGCCAATGTGCCAGCAAGTTTCCTCTGGTTTTGCTTCCAGTGGAAGTCTGACCCGAGACAAAGCTAGGATCTCTGTAAAATACTGTACTTGCTTTCATGTGCCTGTCCTAAGGAACCAGACTGTTATTCTGCAGGCTATAACGCCGCTCTATTTTAAAAATTAAGTTTTCTATGACACTTCATAAAAAATAACCACTCTCCGTCCTACTTATTTCAAAGACAGAACCTTACGCCGAAGTGTTTGAACTCTGATGGAAAACTGAGGGGCAACTGCTAGTTTTAGTAACTGTGTTAACACTGTCTTTCATCTAGGTTTTTCTTAAGCTTGAAATACACATTTTTGTCCATTTTGTTTTACTTAAAAGGAACACTATTCAATTATCCTATCCTGTAGTTTTATCCAAGGTTATAGCTGGGTGAAGTACATTACAGGCCTTTTTTTAATTAGAATGGCTGTGCTCTTCTCAGCACTTGAATGTTGTTAACTTGAGTAAGTGCGTATGCCTTTCTCGAGTTCATGGAAGCAAGGGCATTTGTCAGCTGACATGGATGGGAGGCATAGGGCAGGGAGAAGACAAGTTCAGTGCAGAATACCATCTTTCAGAGGATTAGTAATAGAAAATTACTGGAATTACTCTTTTATACCACAAAAAGAAACTGTGATCTAACCTCTTGAAATATTTCTGGCTATTAAAATTCCATTTATAGCTATGGGTTTATTTGGATATAGCTCAGAGTAATTTGGGCAAAGTGCTACTTAAATGGTAGAGCTGACTAGTTTTGGAGATGGTAAGCTTTTCTGACCAGCCAAAAACTTAGTACTGACAGTCTTCATTGCTTTCAAAGACAGTGCAGTATTTTGCGGAATGTATTGGGACAAGAGCAGACAGATTTGTGCAAGCAACAGTTCAGAAAATAGTCATTTTGAACCTACCTGACAGCAGGAGAATCTTAGTTTTGCAGATCTGCTTCTACTGCTGTGGGTTGTTGACAGAGCAGCATTACTCTTATCTAGCACTCGTTCTCAGTTACGATTTCATATTTGATTTGCTGAACTTTTCAGCATTTTAAAAAAACCCAGTAATGAGATTCATTTCAGTAGTAAATCAGAAGCGGGGGAGAAGCATTTGTGTGTGAAATATCTATTTCACTTTTGCATTCCTTACTGTTACTTTTTTTACACATCAACCTTTTCAGCCATCAGAATGCTCAATATTCTTAACTCAGTCTTTTCTACCTCTACTATTCATCACTCAGACTAAGCTCTCTGGGGAAACCTGCTTGCTGCTTAACCTTTCACCCCAGTGTTAAACAGCTAATTTCTCTTTTCTAGCTACTGATCCAGGCAGCAGGTTAAACTTGTTTTTTGTTTTTAAAGGCAAGGGAGGCGTGTGGTAAAAGGAAGCACAGTAGGTTTACAGTGTGCAGAAGGATAATGCTCTTGTCATAAATGTCTGCAAACCTTTCACATATCAGCAATGGAACTGAAGTTAGTTACAATTAAACTTCAGTATTAGGACTTGCAGTGTTCCAATGCAAGGAAATTACCCTTCTTAAGCCTCGTTAAAGGATATTTTTATATGCCCTTTTAATGTCCAAAGCTAGAAGCCAGGCATTTAGTGGTAATATTTGATTTACAGCGTGATCTTTTTTAACTGGGTGAGAGGGTACTTCATCAGCTTGGTTTTTAGAACAGTTTAAATTAAATACAGATGAATTGTACATGTTACATTATTGATTTTTCTGAAAGACTTCTAAAGGTCGTTCAAAACATAACAGGTGAAGACATTTGTTAGTTTACTATTTTCAGCTTCAAGTGAGTAATTTTTCTTTCCTTCTTTGCAGCTTCATAGCAGTGGAGAACATAGACAGCTACTGTGTTCTCATTTCGTCTAAAGCTGTTTATTTCCTGAAGAGTGGTGATTACACAGACCGCGAGGCCATCTTCCTAGAAGTCAAGTATGATGATCTCTACCACTGCCTTGTTTCAAAAGACCATGGGAACGTGTATATACAGTTGACGAAGAAAGCTGTTAATACAAGTAGTGGTGTAGCAATGCCAGGCCCATCACAACAAAAACCAATGGTAAGGATCTAGCACCTATTGTTTCATTCATGCAGGGGTTTCTTTTCCCCTTTGTGCATGTACTGGTGCTGAACGTGTTTGCAGTCATTAGCGTTTGGTTTCCTGTGCTGCATAACAATGAAAACTTTGTTCTGTCAGCAGTGACAATAGCTGCTGCCGAAAAGGTTTAGGTGACAGCAGAACTTGCTCCCTAAACTCCTGAGAAAAGCTGAAGGCAAAATCCTGCAGGCAGAAGAGTTACAGTAGGAAGTGTGTATTTACCTGGAAACGGCTTCTAACTCTACAGTACATACATGAAACAAGCACTGTGCTATTTACTCTAGTCTTCTCTTCCTCTATACATAGTATTTTTTTACTGAGGTATTTTTTTACTGTATCTGAGATTAGAAGGAGTGTTTATGTCATGCATGTAAAAGTTAATCAGAACTCTCACTTCTAAAACCCATTACAGGGAGGTTTTTGCTTCATTACAGTAGTTGCTCAGGGGTCTGTTTTACAGACACGGTTACAAGCTCACCCCTGACCCAAGTCAGTTTACATTCCAAACAGACAAGCCAGATAAAAGGTAGGAGGGGAAGCAAAGGAAGTAACTTCAGAAGTACCTATCGCTATTTACCTGTGTCTCCCTCTCTCACTTCTTCCTTACTGCAGCCTCAGCATGGAGAAGGGATCTCCACTGAAACATTACTGTTCCTTACAGGAGACTTCAAACCTAATCCCTTCAGTTAGTCAAGTAATAAAAAATAAATATATTCTGCTTTAGACAATAGCAGTACCACATTATGAAAAATGACATTTCTTTTTGCAGGTGAAAGTGAAATCTGAAGTTCTTGCAGTAAAGCTATCTCAAGAAATAAACTATGCAAAGAGCCTTTATTATGAACAACAGCTTATGTTAAGACTCAGTGAAAATCAAGAACAATTAGAGCTGGACTCTTGAAACCTCTTCCTTACTGCCAGAATGAATTGCAAGTATCAGTCTGGAGCCAATGGTATTCTGTAACTAGAGACACTACTACATGGGAAGGAAATAAATGCAATTTTAGTATTTAGCTAAATGAAATCATTGTGCATAAGAAAACAAGTGAGGTGGGCTTTTTTTTTTTTTTTAAATTAGTTGTATAACAAAGATATAGCTGAAACGCATTTGGTTCTAGAAGAAGCCCTGTATTTTGCTAACATGTATATATGTAAAAGTGTTTCATGTAAATAAGAGACCAGGGTGTTGGTATAAATAGACGTCTGTTTACTGTGTAAAGAAATTAAAGGAGCTATACTGAGTCTTACTGCACTACCTGAAACTAGCCATCCTCTCTCTTTTTTCTTGAGAAAGCTGATTTTCACAGTGCAGGAATGTAGACAAACGTTTAAAAATTAAAATAAAATTAGGGGTTAACTGCAGCTGTTGGAGCACAGCTGTTCTGCAGTTTGGAGCTTTAACACTGTGATTAGGGTGCATTGTTTGGGGTTGGTTGTAGGGTGTTTCATTTTTTTTCTTAAATCACTAGTACAGCTAAATGCATGTATACCTAGTGTTCCACTGAAATTTCATCCTCGTTTTTAACAAAAAAAGCTGCATTTTGTTACAAATACTGTGGTGCGGACTCACTAATTCAATTACATTTTCAAAATATTAGAAAACAAGAAGCTGATTCTGTTCTGAATACAGCACTCAAACCTAGTAACGTCTGCACCTCTTAAGGGCCCTACTTCTAAGTTGTTTTTAAAAGAGTTGCCTTGGCAATTGAAATCTTTAACTCCAGTTTTTCCCTTCTCTTGGATTAAGTGTATATAGTTGGCTGGTTAGTGTGGAATTCTGCTAGCATTAGAGATGCCAGGGGGCGGGGGGAGAGGAAATCACTGCATCATTTGTCTTCATGACAGCCTCTTCAAAATTAAACTTTTTGAAATAATAAAAATAACATGCTTTTTCACATGTTGTACATAAAGTCAGTATTTGTCTCATCAACATTAACCAAGCTGAAGATTGAGGAACGAGTGTACTTATATACCTTCATTCACAGCAACTAGGAAATCTCGTTTTCATGTTTGCTCCCTGGAGATAGTTCAGCAACCGTGCTGAACGTCTGCATGCACACGGTGTTTTGCTGGGCAAGGTTCAAGCGTGAATACACAACTTTCCTAAAACTGCTGAGTAAGCTACATTCTAAAAGCATTATTTTGTAAACCTTTGACTCAAAGTAAGGAGCCCACTATAGCTTTACTTTCAACTTAGTTTACCTTTTAATATCCTTTCATAAAGGCATACGGGAGTATTTTTAAACCAAAGGTTAGAATTAAACCAATTCTCAACTCCTGTAAAGTGAAAGGCAGAGAATTATTGTCTAAGGAGAAAATGTGGTATCAGTGGATGTGTGTATGGTCTGGAAATCAAAATCCATAAAGTCCATTATGCAAATGAAACTGATTTAAGGCATCACTTCTGCATATTTCTCTGGATAATTTTTAAGTAAAATACAGAATTCAACAAGTGCATTGGCTCAACAGTGCTTTAACATGTCAGTCCTGCTGGACTCTGCTACCAGGACTCCCTGCTTCTCTCCCCTGTAAAATTCTTTTTTAACGCAGCAAATATCTAGCTGCTAAAGATGGTAAGTAGACGGGGCAAGAAAATAAAAAGTAGTTCACAGCTCTGTGTTGAGAATTTACTGGAGAATGGCTTGAATACGTAAAGGTTTGTAACAATTACGTAAGGAGCTGAGGTGCAAACACCTGAAAAGTAGTTTGATAGTACACCCTTTGAGTTACCTGAACTCAGGGAGCCACAGTAGATAATGGATCTAATTTGTGTATTTGTTTCTTTCTTTTGGACTGTGCTTAACCTGTTCTTTTGACTGTTGATAATGATTAAACGGAACATGATTTAAACCTTTGAAAAGTGTACCCACTAGCCTAGATGCGTATGAGTACCATTGGACCACCACTGGCTTAGGTTGTGCCGGTACGTTACAATACTGCTCCTGATACTGTGCAACTCTTGAGTACGGTGGCTGAAGTGGCTCCCTCGTCTATAGATAGGGCAACGTTTTCTCTTAAAGGTACGCACACAGTGCTGATTACAAGGAGTGATGTGCAGACATAGCTGAAAGCAGCATATTGCCTCATTTAGCACTCCAAAACAAATTGAACCAAACTTTGTTCTTTTAGAAGTGCAAATGATGTTATTTATTGCTCTAACCCAACTATTTTTATATAATTTCAGAACCCTTACTGTGAACTTCCTATTGCTATTGGCACTACTAACGTTATTACTCAGTGAATAAATATAACTTTCAGATTCCAGGAGTCATACTCAAAAATAGTTTACAGAGGATGTGGAAAGTAAGTGCAAGGCTCCAGCTTTCACTTATTTCTTAAGAACTCAAACACAAGCTGTAAGCAGACATATTAAGATAACATAATAGTTCCATTTACCAAATTCTGCAGAGTCTTCAGATTCTGAGCCTTATGAAGACAGTGTGCTTACCACGCTTAGCCGGGTTCCACTGGAGGAGGTATGACCACTGCAGCCATGAAAGCAGGTTCAGTCTTCAACTTTCAGAAGCTGGGGAGGAAAAAATTCACTGATGAGAGCCAATAACACAGCTTTCTCCCCTGCCCACTGTCTTCTTAGCACACAGCCAGTACAACTCGGGCAAGACAATGCTTTTTCATGCCTTGTTGCTCAAGTCTTTATAAAAAGCTGTTCACCTTCACAGTCTCATAAACATTAAATAACACATCAACAATGCAGGTAGTATTTCAAAAACCCTATAACCCATGCAGTGATGTGCTGAGGTAGAAATAACTTTGCTTCAGCCTGTTAGCTTTGATTTTACCGATATTTTGCTGAGAACTGTACAACTTGTTCTCTGCCTACCCTGACCAAGTTTTGTTTTCTTGCTGGAGTTGCTACTGAAGAAATGTAAAATAAATATTATTGACCTAAGAGTTATTTTACCATAATCCTGGAGAAGTGCAATAAATTGATTCCACCCACACTCTTTGCGTGCCCTTGCTTGCAAAACCACTGATTATGTGCAGGAACAGAAACTGACTGGAGAGGACAGGAATGAATAATTCGCTGTTAGACACGTGCCTCTTGAGTGGCAGAACAGCCCTCAAGACTGTTCTTACATCACGTAATTCTGCTGTTTGAGGTAAAACCTGGACAACCCTCGGAATGTTTGTTGTCTCTGTAGGTCAAACCCAGACTTACACTGCATTTCTTGGACCTGGACGCTTAGATAATCTCTGTCTGAGCTGGTCTAATTTTCCAAAAGTCATTTAAGAGTGGGAAGTTGCGACGCTAAGCTATTTAAGCTTCAAAGAAAAAGCACATCTTGTAAAATAAAAGCCAGACATATTTCTTACACATTTGGATGATGAGCACAGCTGATAAATGCTTTTGTGCTCTAGTAAGGCCCCACAGTACGTCACCCACCCAAGCTATACAATGCCAGAGTCAAGTCAAACAACAAAACAATGGTACGTTAGGTATTAATGTGATTTTATGGAGGGAAAAGCATCCTAATATTTCTAACACACAGACCCATGCATTCTGCTGTCACTAAAGACAGACTTGTGACTGAATTAGGTAAGCATGTTTTTTTTAATGTGCAAGATACGCAGAAGAACACAGATGGCGATGTCATTTTAGTCGAGAAGCAATTCTGGACAAGCAGAACTACAAAAGGCCTTTCTGTTCTGACCCAAATCCACAGCGGTGGCTGCAAACTTCCATTTTTCTTCTCCACAGGCAAGTACAGGTCAACCAGGGGATCAGGCCCAGCCAGCATGGGTTCATGATATGCTCATAGCTAACAGGAACGTGACAAGGCTACTTTGAGACCTCCCCCCCGCCCTCTTTTGCTGAGGAAACCATATTACTGGTAAACAAGCTGGTACTGCAGAAGTACGAAGATCCAGGGACCATTAAGCTCTGTGATATGCTCATAGCTAACAGGAACGTGACAAGGCAACTTTGAGACCTCCCCCCGCCCTCTTTTGCTGAGGAAACCATATTACTGGTAAACAAGCTGGTACTGCAGAAGTACGAAGATCCAGGGACCATGCACATAATATGGCTGCTAAAAGAGACAAGCCCCACACGACTCACCAATACATAATTTCTTAACCAAATGTAATTCCTGGAGACAGTCCTCAGCTGGTAGCAGGCTCTGGCACGGTACAGGTGGGCGGCCTAGATAAGGTGTCTGCTCACTTGCTGCCTCTGGAGGAAGAGAAACTAATAGCTTTCTGAAGTCACAGAATAAACTGGAAAAAACTTTGGTAACTTTCAGACACTCAAACGGGGGTGAGGGTCTACATGTACTTATGCATCTTACTATGCTATGATCAGGCTGAAACAGAATTTTTGTTATAGGCCTTACTGGATCATAAACAATTATGTTACCTACTTAAACTTAGCCATTTTAAATAGAGTCTTGGCAGTAAAACAGGAAATAGAAAATGAGGTATGCCTGAAATGAGGTAAACAGTGTGCAAGATGTGAGCATCATCCTACCCTTCCTTCTGCTCCTGAACAGATTTCCAATAAATCAGCTAGACGACACTATCTGAACAGCTTAAGTTGTGAATGCTGTTTACCAAAAAAAGTGCAGTGCTTACATTTTTGTGGAGAGAATGTAAGTGGCTAAATGGTCCACATCTCAAAACAGAAAAATAATCATAACGTTTCACTATGACAAGGAGGTTTTGATCTCTTTGCTATCCCATTTCCTAGACTGCATGATGGTTTTCAGCATTTATCTATTTTTCTCATCAATACTTACTTTCTAGGATCCTAGGCCACCTATCCTTTCTTTTTTTTAACTACCCCCCCCCCCCCGGTGACACAGCTTAGCACTGAACTGTTTCCTACAGCACACCAACCACTAGGTGATGACTCCTCTAGGAATAACCTTGCTTGCTCTGCTTTGCTTCGTAGAGGAACATGCCTCTAGTTGCTAATCACAATGCTTTCACCTCTGGTACCTGGGTCTGAAAAAGCAGGTTTCGAGGAGTATACTCTCTTCAGGTTACAGGCTGCTGCAAAGATATTTAAAAAAAAAAAAAAACCACCACACACACACAAAAAAAAAAAACAAACAACCACCCCACCACACAAAACCACAAACCATTTTTAATTAAGTCAACAGTTGCTCAAAGTCTACTTACACAACTCAGTTTCTTACAAAGAACACCACTCTGTGTGTGTATGCTCATATACACTTTTTTTTTTTTTTAATATTCACATGTATGTA